CTACTACTACTACTACTACTAAATCTGCTACTACTGCTACTATTGCTGCTACTACTACAACTACTACTATTACTACTACCACCACCACCACCACTACCACTACGACGACGACCACGACTTCGACTCCGACTCCGACTGCCACTCCACGACTGCGACGACGAAGACGACTACTTCTGTTGGTACTTCTAATTCTAGTTAGTACTACTGGGCAGCAGCTCAAGTCCTCGCCGTTCCTCCCTTCAGATTTGATCTGGATTCGACGACATTTCTTGCCCTGACTTCCTTCCAGTCGAAGCCTTGCTTGTTTCTAGGTGCCTTCCTTCCTGCCTTTCCTCCTTCCTTCCTTCCTTCCTTCCTTCCTTCCTTCCTTCCTTCCTTCGTGTCTTTCCTTCCTTCTTCCTGCCTTGGCCTCTCACAAAGAAAATGACGAGAAAAAACAAGACACCTGCCTGTAGTGTAGCCTCTGCGAGGGAGACGATTCTGATAGAACAGCTGAGCTCGAGACGCCAGTGGCTGAAAGCCCCGTCTCCTTTTTCGGCTATGTCTGCATGGTTGCTGTGGGCAGGTCCTCAGAGGCAGCAGTGCGCAAAGTCACGGCAGTTGGAAAACGATTGAATGGTGCTGAGACCAAAACCCATGGGGTGGAACTGCTCCTTGTCATCTACGTGAAAAAGCTGAAGCCTCGGCCAAACAAGGAGTGGCCACGCCACCCAAGCTTCTGCAGCGATAAACACTCACGGCCGGGACAAATAACGTGAGCCCCCGCCTACGAAGTCACAATCTCAGGCTCGTGCGTGGATCTTGTCGATCGCCAGCTCCCAGACTCGTCCTTGGCAACATCGAATGGCCGCAAAAAAACAGATCAAGCACGCTACGCGCACCACGCCAGACGCGATTGCATGCAGGATGGCATGTGTGCAAGGCAAGAACAAGTCATACCTACATACAAGTAGGGGCTGCACAAAGGCCTAGATAAATGCAAACACATGCACCTACCTTTTCGAATATCAACATACGTAAGTATAAGTACATACATACATGTGCATATATGAATGTATAGACACATATGTAAACATGCACACATATACACATACATATTGATGTATATGTATGTGTCTTGAAATTTTGCATACGGCCCAGGTCGCTTTACTAATTGCAAGTATCCCTGTAACAGAGCCCGAAACATAAACTCACCGATTTTTCCTAGCAGCGCTAGATACACCTAATAACATGAACCTTACCTCATGAATATAGGCTGCATGTACAGATATGTACTGAAAACCATAGTTTGCTCCAGGCGTGTGTGAAAAGGTACCTCCAGACAGGCATACATGCCTCAAACATATGGCCACGCGACGACAGAATGACAACCAAAACACAAACATGAATACGGAGGCATGCACGAATGCGGATGCATATGCACAGACAGACAAACAGACAGACAGGCAAAGGCACATGCATACACAGGCGTTTATACACACTGTGTACATATTCTGGAGATATTAAATGCACATGTTACAGTACTCAGATATGTGCATCTGAAGATTGTACGTATAGACACGTACATATAGACAAAGCCACATGTACGCAAGTACTTACGTCGATGTGGCTACCGATGTATGTATGTACGTATACATGCATGCATGGATCCATGCATGCATTTACGTGGGTATGTATAAGTACATATGGGCCTAACCAACAAATCATTGCAGAACACTCGCAACACCAAACCCGAAAATGGGCACACACCGCAAACGCACAAACCTCTCGTCTCGGTTTCCAGTGATCACGGGAAATTCCGGACAATCGTCAAATCCGCATATCGCCGCCCAGATCTCAGCATGAGCCGGTAATTCTGGGGTTATCGCCTTATCGGGTCAGTGCGTGAAACCGATTGACAAAGAAGTGTGATTCTGTATACTGCATGTGCACATTCATAAATTGCGAATGCCGCAGCGCATGTCAGCGCATGTGCATGGTGCTTACCTGGGTAACCATAGAGACATACATATGTCCATAAAAATACGGTCAAAACCTCCGTACATGCTATATATATATATATATATGTATATGTGTATCTAAGTACGGAGGCATAGCTACAACGTAACAAACAGGAGTGCAAATATTGCGCTGTGCGCACACGAACATGTAGCAAAGCCACGTTGAGTGTGTATGCGGGTCTATCTGCATGCTGGTATATGCTGGTCTGCCATGCCATGCATGCCATGCGCGCCCATCTGCAATCAACGCCGGAGGCTGGGCTGCCAACTGCTACAATGTAGCGAGGAAAAGGCATCTCGTAAGCGAAACCGGTCGCTTTCTTGGCCTGGCCCAGAAAGACGAGCCCAGAGGGGAAAAATGGGGCGAGCTGAAGCCGGCGAAAAGCTCCCACTGGCACGAGCAGGTTAGGTCCAAACCAAGCCTCAAGAAGGTTGAGGTGGAACACGAGCGCCTCGACACGTAACGGTCACACTTGCATCTGTCCCGCATCGTGAGTCAGTATGGCGGAGACATCGCCGCGCTTCTCGCAGCTCTTGACTGAGCTAGCCTCGGAGGCTGGAAACTCGTTTCGCCACTTGATGATGGAAGGCGTCTTCATGGATGCGCAGCGTTGCACCGCTGGTGCACGGACTCTGGGACTCGTTGCCGGCTTTGACCGGATCGTCTCCAAATCTCTTTCGGGCACCTGCCATCGACACTGGGGCAAGAGATTGCTAACATCGACACGACACGTTCACATCGGGCGTGCCTGCCGCCAGTTGCTTTTTGCACCCGATGGCATGATGCACTCAGCAGCGAGTATTCGATACCTCGGGGCGATTCAAGACGCAAGACCGGCATATCTCAGACTTGCAAGCAACCAATCTTTGAACACGCACACGCAAACGACTGCCCGCCGACCCAGTTGCTCAGTGTTTTTCAACAAATTTCAGTGATTCAGTGATCGGGCCATCCGGCCGGGCTGTGATTATTCAGCGATGTTTCTGTGATTTTGCAGTCGGCCGGCCTAGCCCGGCCCGACCCAAGGCCCGACCCGACCGGGTGCCACATAGGAGAAATACGAATACTAATCGCATTAGCAAGATGAATTGCCATAGCAACAGCAGTGGTTGTAGCAGCAGCTGTAGTAGCAGTAGCAGTAGTAGTAGCAGTAGTAGCAGTAGTAAGAGCAGTAGCAGTAGTAGCAGTAGGAGCAGGAGTAGCAATAATATAGATTTCGTCAAACACTATACAATCAAACTTGCTATGGTCAAACTCCGGCAAGTTCTCGCCGTCGCCTGCCGGAAAAGCAAAAAAACATTCTGTTGTAATGGTTTCATCGTCTATATGTTGTGATAAGCCGTTCGGGGGGACTACAAACAAATGTTGTATAATGTATAACCTAACTTGCTGAAATTTTCGTTCTATGCGAATTACCAACGCCAGCCTGTTTGTTTCTTATAATAAGTGGGCTAAGTTGCGTGCCCACGACAAGTCCTGAACGCCATCTTGGGCCAGGAGCGGGATGTTCTATGTGAGTTAAACTCACAGCCACGCCCCCCTCATGTGGCGCATGAGGCTGCCAGGAGGTGTCCTCCACCAACAAAGCGGTGTCTGTTGCTCTTGGATACAACATTGAGGCTGAAAACCCCAAGCCCTTGATCCAGTGCATCGAAGCACGTGTGCAGGATATACCTGCAATGGTGGATGAACTGGGCGTGCTCGAACAACTCGGAAAATATCCGTGGGTTTGTACCTACGTTGTTCCTGTTTCCGAGTGGTCGTCGATAAGCCTCTCACCGGCTCTGTGCCCGGGCCGAAGCGCGTGTTCTGAGGTACGTCATGTCGAACATGATCGCAAGCCAGCACCTTCGGTCTCTCCGCAACGTTATAGCTGAGGACTGGAGATCTTCAAACCTTCCGAAGAAATTTTCCTGATCCCACTCATTCCTAATCCTCTGGATTACGGAATTAAACTCGTAACCATGGGTAAAGATATCAACCGTCATTGCGGGAGGATCGGAAATATCCAGGGGAGGAATCACCGCGGGCGTAAAAGACCGTTCTGGATTGTTGATGATGGCAGGCGGCGGGACTCGCAGCACGTCACCGTCTGCATCTGGACATTCGCGAAGTGTCTTTCCACTTCGGTCCTTCCAGCAGAGTCATACATGCCGGAAGTCGCGGAATAGCTCGGCGTCTCTATGGCTGGCGCGGTCTCGCCGCTGCCTGCAACTACGCCTGCTTGCAGATCTAGCCTTCCTCTCATCCTGAGGCTGCTCATCTAGCCAGCTACCACGAAGCTTGCATTTCAACCTACTGGCTGTCTTGCTAGATCCAGACCACTCGGTGGCGGTGTGCATGCACGTAGCGGGATCTACTGTCTGTTTTTCCTTTTGGTTTTGGTGACAGGACCGCATCTCTTGCAGGTCGGCATGTCTATGTGTGCGTTACTAGCAGACTTGGTAAACTCTTTGCACCCTCCCCGCCACGGAGCCTGGAACAGAGATCGCGCCTCACACGGTGCTGAGGGCTGCACAGGCTCCGGCGGTGCCATACTGCTAAGGGGGTGTTCCCTCCTGGCAGTTTCCATCGGGTCTGAAGCCGTAACGATAGTACTCCTGCACTCAAATGAGAAACCCACCCAACAACTTGGAGGGAGACTTCTCCTTCTGCCCCCACAACACATACCCAGGACACGTATAGAGAACATGCTCATACTACAATCCCTTGTGACACCCTTGTGTTGGCCAAACCGGGAAGAGAGTACTACTTCCTGGCGGGGGATTATCACGCATTATAGTGGAAGCTGCCGATCTGCGGAGTTGTCATTCTCCTTTGCCGCTGCTGGAAGCAGTGCTCTTGGCTGGGGATGCCTTCCCGGCCATATATCCCTGAGATTCCGAGCAAGAATTCTGAATGTAAACGACCTCCTCATCTGAATCATCAAGAGCCATGTACCCCTGAGGTTTGGGGTTCTGAGGCTTGGTCGTCCCTCCGGTCGGTGCCGGGGTCGTCGCAGTCTTCGCCGCAGGCGTTGAGCTTTTAGGGTTAACTGCCCAGTGTCCAACTACCAACGCAACCAGCGACTCTTGGCCTTAAGCTCAGCGAGCTTAGCTTTCCGATCAGCAATCGTTAAGTTAGATCTGACGACCCTACCTCCTTGTTGGCCTTTGTCCTTTCCCTTTACCCTTACCTTTGCCCTTGGCCTGACTAAGCGTATTCGTAGCTGCATATTATGCCATCTGCACGGCCTCCGCATACTCCTCACCGAGGGTATCCTCCTCAAGCTCCGAGGAGATTGCTGCGTACACATTGAGCTGCATCGCGACATGTCAGTCCATTCCTCGCCGTCGTCATTCGAACCAGACGGCATCACCGCTGCGCATGCATCATGCTCAGGCTCGTTCTCAAGGGGCGGTGCCCTGATCGGCTTCGACGTCGTCATCGCCGTAGCCATATCTTTTCTACCCATATTTCGGGGAGTAAGGTTGGTTTCTATTCCAGAGACGGTGCCCTGCGTGCGGGGTTTTCTCAGTTAACACGCGCTCCTTCCTGGGAACAATGCTGCGATGTTGCACCAATACCCTTGTGTATTCTTCTACGGTGTGGGAACGTGCCGCTGTCTTAATCATGAGTTGCTCCTGTCAGCGAAACCTGACAGCTCGAGCAATAGCTTTGCCCTCATTGGCTCTGACAGCCTGATGTCGGGATCCAACTCACGGAGAGTGGGCCACCACCTCTTTCGGCAGGCGATGTGTGAGAGCATCGGCTCATCCTGCTGCTTTGCGAGGGGGCCGGTGATCAGCTGTCCTTGTCGGAACAACTCGGAGGCCTCTCCTGATTGAATTGGGAAAGCCTGCAAGCGTATCTGCTCTATCAGATGGTCCATGCCATCTGACAACAGCAACCGTGACAAACCAATATCCCTAGCAATGCTAAAGGCATCACCACGAAGCCCTCCCAAAATACTTGAGACGCATTCCGACATGTCTATGTCGGCGTCATCAACGTCAGCTATAGGGTTGGTATCACGGGTTCCGTTTATGCCCGGCCTTCATCGACAAAGTCGACGTCACCACCATCGTCTCCCATCTGACTGGGATGGCTTGATGCCTGCTCTGCACCCTCGGCTTCAGCAACGGACAAAGGCTTCGCGCGTCAGGCACTGGACGGGCTAGCGGGTATTCCCCTAGTTGCACCTGACTCTTCCTCGGTGGGAAGGTCTGCTTCTGCTGCATTCTGCTCGGATCTAAGCCGGAAACCATGAATGCTCTCGCCCAAACCTTTGCCCTTCTTCACTGGCGATTGATTGGCTGCGGGCAAACGCTGCTCCGCGCATGTCCTTCAGGACTTCACGTCTTTGCTTTTCCTTGTGCTGCAACACGCGGAACTTTGTTCTGAACTCCCAGTCATGATAGGCTGAGGCAGTGCCGGTGTAGTGTATATGTGCGATCCGGGTTTGGTCTCTGCCGGCGCTGCATTATGACCCCAATACGACGCCTGGCACTCCAATCCAGCGGGCTCGATCCAAACTACCCCGAAACGAACTAGGAGCGCTCTACTCTACAACAATCTACCTTCTAGACACCGTGAAACAACACTGTGATCCGCTGGCTCCGCTACCAGTTTGAGTCGGATGCCAGCTTGCGGAGTCAACACTGCGGACAAGTTAGCCGACTTTCGCACTGAACTCAAGACGTCTGCAGTCAGGTACATACATGGTTGGATAGTAAACGAGCAAGTGCTAAGACGATTCCTGTACAGGCACCTGAGTCTAAAGATCCTACCTGACGAGATGGTCAACACGATCGCCTATTTCGGGAGTAAACATAGGGTACTTTCACAGAGGTATAGGTTGTTATGGTTTGGGTGCTAGGAGGTGGTGCATGGTTAGAAAATTGAGATGGTCTCTGCTAACTGTATACAGTACTAGTAGTAGTAATGGCAATACTGGAGGCTGGTACAGTAAAAAACGTCTGTCACAAATGCACACCGCCAGGACGTACCATACTGTAACAGAAGGAGTAAGAAGTAATAGCAACAGCAATAGTAGCAGCACCAGTAACATGCTATAGTAACAGCAATAGTAACAGTGACAGAAGCAGTAATAATTCCAGCATCCGTATTAAAAATTGCAACTGTAATTACAGCGACAGTATCTAAAATGGTAATAGTAATAAGCAGTTGTAATTGCAACCGTAACTGTAGGGGGGAAACCCGGTAGGCCAGTATGAATCGAAAACCCCGCAAATACAGATGAATGTGGGGTTACCCTCTGTATCTGAAGGTTGTGCGGGCACGAGTGTAATTGTAAACGTAAGAGTAAAAAGTAGTAGTAACAGTAACAGCAACGGTTTTGGTCATAGCAAGAGTGCGCCTGTTCGTAATAGTAACAGCAAAGGCAGCAGTAGTGGCACTAGTAAGAGTGTCAGCAATAGTAATAGTGTGATAGGAATAATGATCGTAATAATGATAACAATAGTAATGGTAATAGCATTGCTTGGCTGACTTCTGAACCCCTGCTAAAAGCTAAACTTTTAGCCTACCTATTATAGTTCATATAGACACCCGAAAAGTTAAAGTCCTAAGACCATCTAAGGCCCAACCAGAAGGACGCCAAGAATAGTCACAGTAGTAGTCACAGTCAGGATCAGACGAAATCTTGGTAAGGATCGAGCGGAGATCGGTCACGCAGTGTGGCAGGCTTGTTCCTGCAGCACACCGGTTCGGGCCGAGATGGTGTACGGCCATGGACAACTTTCGGCAACGCCTGTTCCTTGCCTCGCCAAGAGTGACCTGCTCGCACTCTGGAAGGCACATCCGACATGTGAGGCACATGACATATGAGGTCTCACAGTCTTCCGGCAAACCCGTCACTGAAGCACCCCCACACTGATCTTCGTCAACTTCGCAGATCAGCTGGGAGTCTCCGTCACGCCTTTGAAGTCGGCAGAGAGCTCTTCGCGCTCTGCGCCTCACGCAATTATGCTGTAGAAGGACGCACTCTTATTTGGCGTTTCGCTCACATCCCAGCGCGCCTGGTTTGTCAAAAGATTTTGAAGGGACGGAGGGTCCTCTGCGAGACGCTTAACTGCCGCGGACATTAATATGTGGACTCTGCACTTATGCTTGCCAGGCACAGGACCATTCTGCAAATCTTAACACACGTTCACTCCAAGCTAAAGATGCTAGGCAAGAAGGCGGAAGTTTGGACCAGCAGTGTCACACAGTGCGAGCAGGAGCGGTCCCGTTGACCTCGGAGCGATTCTGTCCAAGGACCGGCATCCATCGTTCGAAAGAGATGAGTGTGTATGCAACCAGCGCACAGCACATGCGAAAATGCACTTGTCAACTGAAGACGAATTTGCCGTGGGGCTGGTCATGTGGTTGATGCCACGGAAGTTGTGGAAAACAATACCTGAGCACAAATTGCCCTGAAATGGCACAACAGGCATAAAGCCAGCACGCAGCCCGAGCTCCCGACCCAGGGACACAAGCGAAAAGACGAGGGCAGCGCCCTTGAAAGAACACCTTCAGGCAGTGCACTCGAGCCCAGACAAAAACAGGCAACGAATTGCATCCAGCTGCTGCTCTTTCAAAACGGCCGCACCTCATGGACGACGGGCAAGCAGCTTGTAGCGCCAGCAGCGCCAGCAAAGGAGATTGCCAATCATTTGCACATGAGCGACCCGACTTTGCAAGTCTCCAATGCTAAGACTATCCAAACATATCATGCCCGAGCGGAGACCGACGACGAGCACAAACACTTCTACTTGAAATCCCACAGAATTAGACACATGTTGCAAAAATGATCTTCGTCCTGCCGTGATTGTCAGTAATATTTCTCCGAGTGTTCGACGTTTGCGCAGCTTGAACATGTTGGAGACGGATTACCCAGAGTATCCCAAAGCCCCTGTTCGGCTGGAAAGACGCCTGCATCCCGCTGCAATGCAATGTCCTACATCTTTTTTGGGTGTGCTATTGCAACGTCTTGTGACGCTGATGGGCCCGGGAATTTCTTGCATGTTCCCATGGCAGAGGCATGCCGCGGTGAAACAAACCTTGCAGGCCCGATGCCACTCTGACATGCTGGCACCTCCAGTATGCATGTATCTATACAGTATCTATACGCATATCATATGTCTACACACATATATATATAGAGAGAGAGAGATATAGATATATAATCATATATAGATGTAAATATGTACGTATGTGTGTGTGTACATGCATGTAACATATATAAGTACATACATATATACATACATGCATACATACAGAACAGGTCCTGTCATCCATATGCGTATGTGTATACATCATCTACATCTGTGAATATATATATATATATATTTATATATATACATACATACATATGTATACACATACATACACACATACATACATACATACATACATACAGACAGGCAAATATACATACATGCATCCATAAATATATATATATATATACATACATACATACATACATACATACAGACAGACATACGCACATGCATACATACAAACCTACAAAACTACAAACATACGAACATACACATACATACATACATACATACATACATACATACATACATACGTACATACGTACATACGTACATACGTACATACATACATACATACATACATACATACGTATATGTATACAAATAGATATACACAAACATAGGCATGTACATATACATATACATTTACATATACATAAATGTATGTGTATACATATACGTATACATATACCTAGACATATACATAGACATATACACGTACCTCCATAAGCAAATCAATAAATGAAGAAATAGAGCGTGATCGTGGACATCTGGGTCATAGAACTGCATATCCGATGCGTATCTGAGTGGCAGCTGGGCTGCAGTGAAACACCTATTCTACATCAACGAGACTGTACGACAGGTGGACGAAGCTGGCAGCTACGACTCCGAAGACGGCATCGCCGGTTGACACAAACACTCGGGCCGCCAAGATCACCACGTCGCCCCGAGGTTGTCCTGTGCCTGCTTGTCATCACAAGGACCTCAATGGCGTCTTCAAGACAAGCTAGAAGCTCTAAGAGCGGCACAGCCTTGTGCATGGACCCTTCAAACCATTAACCACGCAGATAGCCGACCTGCCTCCAGACCCCTAACAGAAAGACGGCACGGCAGTCATGAGACTAGTCGAAACAATGGCGGTCGAGATGCCCCAGTTGCTCCCGGACTTCTGCTTCTAGTCTTTGGTAAGCTGCCTCGGCCTGGGCTTCGACCCTCAACAGCCCTCGGCTTCAGTAACTCCTCTGGGGTGGTTTGTCACGGCTTCTTGGTCTTATTGAACTATTGCTAGGAAGTATTTCCACAAATTCCAAACATAGCTTTGCTGGATGAAGATGTCAGGGTCCTCATGCATCAACTGTGGACACACCCAGCACGCCGACTTGGACAAACGCTTTGCTACCTGCTTCAAGGTGCTTCCAGCTGCAATGGTCTGTTTGCAGCCTGGCAACTGCATCTTCCTTGTCATTGTCCTCCGTCTTTTCCTGTTCAGCCCAGCTGCAAGGACGTGAAGGAACCGAAGCTACACAATGTGTCCGTGCATCTACAGAAGCTGTAGACAAGCCATATATGTAGGAAAAGGAAAGTGTGCATTATACAATAAATATAGGCAAAGTGGAACCATGTGGTGGGAAGATTTTCGGTCTGCGATACTCCGGATATCGGCGTAGATCTTGGTTCAAAGGCCGCCAGGCTAACACCCGTCCCAAGACCCTCATCCCCAGACCTCATATCCTGAGCCACAAGGAAGAACTCGAATCTCCAACCCGGCACCCCTAAACTCAAAAATTAAATCCGGTCCGGTATTTGGCCAAAAACGAGTTAAGATGTGCGATGGAATCCGACTAAACAACAACGATGCCCCCCTCCCTGCACAGAAACCCTGAAACATGCGCAAACAACACACGCCAAAGGCAAACAAGATCCCTAAACGCCAGCCTTCTCAAATGCAATCCTGCCCACTAGAACTCATATCCCCTGGCAGTTGATTTTCCCGTGCTTCCCCGAGCTGTATCGGTGCTCAATAATCTTCTGCCGGTACGAGGCTGGCGTGTCTCGTTATGAATGGTACGATTTTTGTGGGCCGATACATCAATACGCCAAGGCACAGAGATACCGGTTTTCTGTGTTCCTTTGCGGGAATTCGCGGATTAAGCCGCTTTCCCGTACCCATACCCCAAACCTTCGGTCCTAAACGAAAGGCAAAACTCTACACCCAAGACCAAACCCTGCCCTAGCCCTACACCCCCAACCCCTAAACCTTGACATTCCCAAAACTTTTCCGAAGAACTGGTTGAAGTACAACAAGCTTGCGCAGGGCCGCCTCTACAACAAGCAGAGCCGCACACAAACGGTTCGCAGAAAGGGTAGGTCTCATGCACCAACCCAGCACCGACATCGTAATTGTGGTACATTGTTGTAAATATCATGTGTTGACAGCTGACATCATGACATTGGTATTTTGGTGTAAAGGCTGCATGTTTACACACGTCGCGAGATGCACGTGTCTCTATGTATACCTACGTATGTATGCATGCATGCATGTCTATGTCTATGTCTGTGCACGTATGTGTATGTGCACTTGTAAATGCATGTATATGTGAATGCGCACGCGTATGTGCAGGTATGTGTGCATGACTGTGCATGTGTATCTGAACGTGTACTTATATATATATATATGTACATATGCATAATATTCAAATCTGCATACATGTACGCATGTGTGTGTGTGTGTGCAGGCATGCATGTATGCAACGATATATGCATGTGCACATGCATGCATGTAAGCATGTTGATACACATGTTATGTGTGTGCGCGGAAGTCTGTCTGCATGCATGAATGAAACCATAAGCCTCCATATGACCTAACATGAACAGATAGATGGATAAATAGATGTGTAGACAGACAGACAGACAGACAGACAGACAGACAGACAGACAGACAGACAGACAGATAGATAGATAGATAGATAGGCAGGTTTGTATGTAGCTACGTAGATAGAAACACAGATAGATAGATAGATCTGTTTACCAACACTCGCTTTTCCGCCTCGCGAACGTCAGAGCAGTTGCTGAACCAAGCTGAGCAATGCATGCAGACTGCCACCATAGAAAACTCACGGGAAAAGGGCGCTAAAGTTAGGGACCCTGTGGGCATCATTAGCTTGCCTGGAACCATTCAAGACGTATCTAGACTGATCCGTGAGAAAACGAACCCCCAAAAGTTCGGGCCGATGCATCCTTTTCCACCCAACAAACCCGGCAACCTCCCCCGCCTAACAAGTCTCGGGGAAGCTTAAGTTGGGAGACGGTAACAAGGTCTACGCCGCAGGATTGCATTGCCTTAGTGACATATGTTTTCGTTTTACGGGTAAGTCGCGACATTGGCATTCCCGGAGTAAAGAACCACCAATAAAGCAATGTTTGGTCACAAAATCAGTTACTTGTTCAATCCACGACATCCTGCTATCATCATCCATCGACATTGGGTACATACCACTCCCCGTCCCTAAGGAAGACAATGACGGCCGCGAAAGCTGGGAGATTCTTGGGCGTATATCCCCAGTTGGTGTTTTCAAGCAGGATGTCACGATGAAGCGGACAAGACTCGGCAGCAATTTTGGATCTTGGAATCTTGGATCCGCCCGGTACAACTTGTAGCAGTCGTACCGGTTTGTACGGGGGCCCAGGCCTGTACCCAGGATCCTTGGGGTGGAGTTCACCCAACCACAAAACGGTACATCAGGTAGTTCCTGCAAACACGGATCTACAGTTTGCGTGTGGTGGGGTTCACCCAGCCACGAAATGGTGGATCCATGGGGAGGGGGGGGGGGGGGGACATACATATATATATATATATACAGATACAGATGCAGATACAAATAGAGACATACATATAGATACGGTTAACAATATAGATGCAGATACAGATATAGATATAGACACCGATATAGGTGTGTGTATTTATATTTATATATATATATATATATACACGTATCCCACCTGTATGTATGTATGTATGTATGTATGTATGTATGTATGTATGTATAGAGTTTGTGTATATGTATGTGTGTATATAATACTGTGTATATATATATATATATCTTGTAAGTACATGCGTACTGCAGGCGTGCATGTCTTAGATATGTTTGTACATGTGTAGACATACAGACACATATGTACACACGATATGACATGATGTGAAGCATGTGTGAGCGGGTGTGCTCATGCAGTTTGACTTCGTGCGAATGTGGATCTGTGTGCATTCATAGAGCGAGGGAGTGGTTGCCAAATGTTCGGATCCATGCTGACAGTCGACACCAACAGCCAAACTACATTAACAAATCATCCAATGAACAGACGGATGACCCGGTCGCAGGCCTTCTCCTTCTCGCCGGCACCATCGGCTGCCATCTGGGCCTGCCCGGAAGGAAAGCCACGCCATGAATGGCGATGTGAGTGATATCTATCGCAGAACCTGCTTCTCCATGAGGTCCTTCAGGTCTCTCAGCTCCTGCTGCCGCTCCTGCTGGACAGTATCGGAACCAGAATGCCTCACTACCACTGAGATCGACTCAAAGCGTCGGCCTGGAAGTATCGAACACCTCAGAAACAACTGCTTAGTGACCGGCATCTCATGTTCTGGTCTCTGTGCCCACACTCGCCCTCTGTCACAGCGCTATCAGCTTTGCCAACAAGCTGTTCACTGAAGCTGCATGCAGTGCAATGATTGCTGCTGGCACTGGGCCCCCTGCGCTTCTCCTCTCTGTCGAGGAAGCGCCTCCCAGCAGTACAGCAACATGTCAAGCTGAGTCGATGAACGATCCAGAGAACAATGACAAAAGCGGCAGCATTGCTACTGTACGTGCTAATACTGATACTTGAGATTTTTTGGGTAGCACCAGGCCGTTACTCTTAGCAAACCCTGCCAAGCTCCTGAAGGCTTGATTGACTCGTGAGCAGGGCTGTGGATGGGTGAGTACAGCACCGGTCATTTCACCCCGGTGCCTCATGTTTTCCTTCTCTCGGCCACCAGGCTTTATCAAGTTCCTGAGAAGCAGACACTTCGGTAAACTATTCCCGATGCCGATGGAAGTGTGCCACAGACACTTTAACAAGCCACGGAGCTTTGGGATGTTCTGGATGTGGAGATGGCCTTGCGCATCGCCGACAGCCAGCTTCTGCCCCTCCTTGATGTCGCCTGCTAGCCCGAGGATGCCCGAAGAACGTCTTGAGCTTGGCTGATGCTTTGGGAGAAGCTCTGGGGTCCCATCCGTGGTAGCAGAACATCATGGACGTGATCGCCACAGATGCCCCAGTGTCGGAGAGCGACGCCTGCATTCAGGTGCAGCATGCATGCCTGGCATCACTGCCGTCATTGTTCGTGTCCGCAGAAAGTGAACCATGAGGCACATGCTTCAGCTCTCTGCAGCCCTCCACTCCAACCTTGTGAGACTGATCACTGAAGTCCCAGATGTCAATCCTGAGGTTCACCAAAAGGTACGCGGTTTGAGAGATGGTGCACTGGTGCACCCATGGATGGTGTACATATCCGGAGGCTGAGGTCAGGAACCCTCCACTGACAAGGCCAAGGAAAACTACCGAGGGCCGCGTGGGGCTCCAGACACCTTGGCAGGCGAAATGATCGCTAGCGGCAGAGCTGTTTCCTGCTTAAATCACGGCATCTTCCTCGATGCTGAGGACAGCACCGCGAGTGTAATACGTCGAGGTGTAAGAGGACATAAACAAGTGCTCACTGAGCCCGTCCTGAACGAACGGCATCGCACATCCATCACCCAACCTCTTCGGTCGAGCATGTCTGTGTAATGCGGGGCAACCTAGCATGTTTCTATCAAACGTGCAGCTTGCTGGCCTTGAAGAGGAAGAAGGCCCAATCCTTCCGGAAAGCAACAAAGCAATCACCATACAAGCTAGCTGCTAGCTTCCCATGTCCGTGCATTGTGACCCGCTTTCTTGCTGGGGTCTGCACTGTAACCCCGAGCAGGATGTCTTCAAAGAAAGGTGATCGCCTAGGTTGCCACACACGAGGCCGCCTCACGCGAAGACACTGCACATGCTGAGCAGAACCTAGGAGATCCTCGGAGTCAAATTCTACACAGCGAAAGAGCCCTGGGACGACTTTGCACATGATCTTCAAGTGCGCTGGCCCGAAGATAGAAGGTCCCGAAGCTGGGAGTCCGGCTCCAGCGACAGCATAGGCCGGAAGGTCTTGCAAGTGCTGTACATCCTAGGCGAAGCTGCGGTCGAATCTCGACCGTGCAGAAGCATGGGCAAAAGTGACACAGCTACTCGTAACATCGCTTCTGCGGGGCATCGTGGAATTCGAGCTAAGGCCTGTGCTTCTTCACGACATCTGCTTTCCGATCCTGCCAGCTCAAACGACCCTCTGGTGTTCTGCACTCTGTTGCCGTGGCTTCATCACGAACAGTTTCCGAAAGAGTGGAGAAGTGCACTGCCGCAAGTGCACCCGCAAAGCTGCCCGCAGCCTCTTCGCCCCGAGCGGCCCAATCCCCGAGAATTAGCTCCTCGGTTTGAGCAAAGATGGGTGCCCTCCTGGTCCCCCGTGTCGCTTTCCGCTGAAGGCTGCAGACAAGCTTCGCCCTCTTCCGTGCTGGCGTAGAAGTTCGTCAGCAGCTGGCAGGATTCATGACAGCCTAATTACCCTCAACTGACGGACCAGAAATGACCAGAAATGGATACACGCTTCAAATCTGGATCTGGCACCTTGTTGCCCTTGTCGTCGAACCGATCATGGCCTCAGAGCACATGTCACCCAGCTTCACTGACAATCGCGCGATGGAACCGTGCTGCAAGAAACTGAATTGATTTTGGCTGGAATCGTTGAGCCGTCGGATCTGGGGCTGCCAGCAGTGCAGGATGTGGCAGAGACCCATCTCAGTGCCGCTGTCCTGCATCCATGGAGGCATGGGCATCTAACTCGACAAACCCAAGACTTGGGTTCTCCTGCCGCTGTAACTGTACACGGTGTACAGGCCGCCAAAGGAAGTCGTTGTCATTGATGGCATCAAGCATTGCCTGGCATTTCCTAGAAATGGGCGCTTCAAATAGACGGCAGTCGAGTAGGCCATGCACCTGGAAGTCCCAGATCATGACCTGCAAAGGCGGAACTCCTAGGATGGCTGCACGCAACTAGGAAAGCGATGCGACTGCCACAGTCAATGGTCGGTCGGCACAGCGAATGCTTGAAGGCGGCTCGGGGTGAAACATGTGCATCCCGCCTGGCCATCCCCTGCGACTGTCAAGAAATACCTGACACAAACATGCCCGGACCAGTTTTTGCAAGGCTTGCAGTGTGTTCCCAAACATGAAGGCTGTGGATGCGCACTTGATCGGTGCATCTGCTGGGTTTTTCTCGCTGGCTCCCTTGCCGCGGCGCTCCACCTGAAAATCACAGCGACTGCGACGGAAGGAGGCCTCTGTCGGCGAATGCCAAGGGAAACTAGCTGTCGACAGGCGTCTTGCTTGTGAGGAAAGCCGAAGCAAGAAAATGCATGGAATCGTGCTGAATATGGTGGGTTTTCACCTGCTAGAACAATTCTCACAAGTGAATAAATCGACTTGTTTCGAAAGGAGCAAATTAGACAAGTCATCGATCTTGCAAATGCAATGATTCTAGTTGCCCTCCCTGCAGCATCCACGGACAAACAGGGCGTGGGAGTGGGGATCCGTTTGGGGGGGAGTCTTCCAAAGAAGGATTCCACTATTCAGGGTCTGTGGCTTGCGTACGTTGTTTTTGGGAACTCCTTCATAGGGCGAGTTGCTACAAGCCATGTCTGAATCATACAGAAAGGGGCAGTGGACCCTACAAGTGCATCGCCTCTATCGTCGCCGGCATGAATTCGATGGCGACCACCGCTTTTCGGTGCGACTCATCGATCATTGACATCTGGCGATGGGTGACCTGGGCTGAACACGGCTGATCTGAGCGAGATCACAGCACAATTACGCCAATAATTACGCATTGCGTCGTGCTCACACATCGCGCTGGGTTCGCTACTGTCGGGATGGTGGAGTTCTTCTCCTCCTGAGCAGGTCTTCATGCTCCGATGTTGCGAGCCAGTCAAACGCATAACTTACCTTGCCATTCCGTTGCACCGAGAGCAGGAGAGGTGGGAGCTAACAAGTCGAAGGTGGCATGCGAGACTCCTCCCACCCACAGCCCGAGTCCAAAGCGATCGTGCAGAGACCACCAGTAACTTCGGAGGGACGTGTGAACTTGTAAACCAAAGCCTGTGCTTGAATTCTTTCGTTTCGGACGGCAGTGGGTAGCATTCTGGCTCGCAGGGCCAAAATGCAGCTCATATAGAGCCAAACAGGATCAGCACCTGTGGTCCAAAAGCTTGAATCAGGGCATACCGCCCATTGCAAGCGTCTCGTGTGCCGGCCTCCAGGCTTCCCCCACGCGCAGCGTGGTTCGTCGTCTTTGCGGCCGCAAAACCTTGCAAGCGCGCCAACTTCAAAAAGGCAGTGTCATGGCTTTAAGCAGGTGTGATGTTCTGACCACGTGCCTTCGCTTAGGTGGTGCACTGGAAACTAGAAATTGCAGTCATGAATGTCGCCGGGATCACAGGGCATTGGAAAACAACGTGTTTGATCGACGCATGAGAGTGTAGCAAGGCACACCCTCTTCCCTCCGCAAGCCTAGGTCGGTGGTGGATAGTTTCCAGACCTGCAGCGTGCAGACTCAGGGCGCTCTTTATCGACAACTCGTGCCCGCTTCATGAACTCCATCGCCCGACTGAGTCATGCACTGCTATTTGTCCATTCCCAAGTCCTTATGTAGGGACTCCACAATCCTAGCATCACGTGCAAGAGCTGAACACTACTGGCCGTCGGAACTGCATGTGTGCGCATGCATGTCAAGAAATCGGCAGCGCTCCAGACAGAACATGTTAACTGAGGAGGCATCCACCAATGAGAAAGGTCGGGTCACTGGGATAAAACTTGAAGACCGTGACCTGCCAGCAAACCCCCAGTTGGAGCTACAACGAGTCTCAGGCACGCTCAATCCGCACCTCCCATGGAGACTCGAGGATGGCATGTGGGCTCAGGGAATCCGCAAAGGACCAGACCAACACCGTACTCACCTCGGATGGAGTGCAAAAGCCGTCAGCATCAAGTGGCTTGAGCGATTCTTTGGTTTCTTGGTGAAATCGCCCACAAAGATGCTGTGGCCAGTTTACGGTGCAAATTACTTTCGGGCTGAGGGTGTTTGGATCTCCTTGGTGTCGTTCAGGTTCTCACGTCTTTTTGAGAGCCTCAATCAATGGGTTCAGGGCAGCTTATGGACTTAAGTGATAAAGATGCTTCTTAGGATCCAGGTCTTTAGGGCTTGTTTTGGGTTCCAGGTGCTTTTCGTTTCACACGACCAGGGTGTCCGCGAGCAGAAGCCTCTTAGGGGGTTAGGTTTCAGAGGATGTTTGCGTCTAGGGGGATGAGGGTGTTTTGGAAGCTTTGGGCTTTGGGAATGGAGGGTGAGGTTGCTTGCAGGAATTGGGATGTTTCAAGGTCGTAGACAGGAAGCCATGCAGAGGAAAAAATCAGCGGCGAAGATGTCAGGAAGCTCGGAGTTCAAAGCCAAGGAAGCCGCAAGGATAAGAAGCCCCAAATCCGAAGCTTGCGTAGGGAAGCGGCAGAAGCCTTGCCCGAGTTCTCTAACCGGTCGACGAATGCCAGGTTCCTGAGACTCCGCAGGTCCGGACGGAGGCACATGTCGTTACCCGGGACGAGCTGAGAGCTTGGCTCACAACAGGAGGAGACCACCATGTCGGAGGAGCCCGGGACCCACTCGACCCATTCCTTAGCCATACTTGCTCCAGTTTCTGCTGGCTGTAGAATCGTCGTGGCTCTGACATGCTTGTTCCACTCAATTAGGCTCGGAAGAGATATCGAAACAGGCGCAGAGGAATCAGCAGAAACAGCATCTTCCTGAGGCACTCACGATGCGCTTTCCTTTCGTGTAGGTCACATCGTGGAAGTTCGGGTGCTCCTAGAATGCAGAGCATCCGCTGCAGAGCGGTCTTCTGGAGAACTTTCGACCCGGCCTTGAGCTTCGAGTGGGTCTTCGTGATCGCGCCAGCCTCTTCCTCCCCCAAATGCGCGAACCTCTAAAAAGCGAAGAGGCGGGAAGAAGAAGAGTGAGGACGCGACAGGATCCGTGGGCGAGAACCGAGGCACCGGCTCTTCTTGGAAGATGTCGACCGTCTCGTTTGTCTGAAGGGCCTCCTCGACTCCGACACCTGATCTGCTCCGAGGTTTCGTCGGGCTGGGGGCCGGGACAAAACGAGGCTCTTTCAAAAAACGCCAGCCCGAGCCAGCCGAATGATGACAACCTGTTTGAGGTGCCCGCTGACGGTCGAGAGGAACATGGAAAGCTCATCCACCTGGCAACACCGCTCACGGAATGCCCCTTCTTTCCTGGACACCTTACACCAGTATGTACATCCTGCTGTTCGTCCGGCTCATCTCCACGAGACAGACACGCCCAGCATGCAGTCTGCTACCTTGTCATAGCCAAGATCTGCGCCCTTCTGCAAGAAGTCCCCAGGACTCAGCATATCAAGCCGACATGGCATTAGAAGCAACAGAACTCCAATTCTCTACGGCGCATCTGATTGACCGGACTGTCCCACGACAAGTCCTACTCTTCTATCCAGGCTTCTGGCATGTACTGCGTGGACTTGTTGACGGGACGGAACCTGAAGCGACAAGCGCGTTGCCGCTGTCTCTTGTGCCAACTGCGGGCATTGTGAGGATTCTGGTGCGTACTAAGCGGGACCTGCCAGGCGAACTTGCAGCACCTAGGATCCTTGCCAAGTGGTCTGGCACGAGCACGTTCGCGTCTCCTTTACAGCCTTTTGCAAGCAAGGCTTGCAAGGTTTAGCAGCATGCGATCAAAAACCATCGCTTGGCGGAAGGAACGGCATCCTGCCTGGATTCCAATCTCCAGCTCCTTTTTTGGAGGGGCGAAATTGTGATCCTGCAGCGCTTGATATGGCACAACCACGCATCAACAGAACGACCCAGCTTCATGTGCAGCAGGCAACTGGGAATCAAAGTCAGCTGCAAGCGTCCTTCTGCGGTCTGCAATTTTGATTGTTCTCGCCTGGCCGGCCACAGTACAAAGGTAACACATGTTTAGCCACACCTAATGCTTCTCTCGCGTTCCTCAGGAGTACCAAAGACGGTCGTGCTTAGCAGAACAACCCGGATACCAAGTCTCCGTAACCGCCGTAATTGAAAACCTGTGTTCGGATGTGGGCAAGCCACTGGGACATCAAGCCGCAACGGGTCTCAGACCTGAGTCGCTGAACTTCGTCGACTTCCCAAATTGGCTGCGAGGCCTCGTCAAGTCCAGAGTGGCAAGGCCACGTCTCCCGCAGAGAGCATCCGGCCTGGTGATCATTATCTCCAGGAGTGGGCGGCTATTGTGGACGCTGAAGGTACGAACCTGCCAGCCATGGGCCAGTACCCTGATCCGTACAAGAAAACATGTCCTGCCATGTCAAAGTGTTGATGCTTCCTCCGGTGAGGCCTCGTCGTGCGTAGCCTCCGCCGTCTCAGACTTCCACTCTTTACACTCCTCTAAGCAGATCATTGGATGTCTGCCAAAACACTACCACCGACTGACAACGAAGCGACAGCGTCCTTGGGGAGATCACGAATGACGATGTTCTCTTCTGGCTCATCCTGCCAACGTTTCCGCTCGAGCGCCCTAAGCAATCGAATCCTCTGGTGACGAACCCACAGTACCATGATTTAGTAACTTCTGTATAGTCGTCTTTCGTCCCCTGTATTGCTCATACTGCCGCATTTTTCAAAACAATGGTGACGCTGGAAGCTCATGCAGGACTTCGACTACTGAGTAAATTACTCGGGCTGGACTGGCACTGTCATGAATCAGAATCCGCGGCCTCAATTCCGGCTTCCTCCCCCTTCTGATTTTCCTTCTCGAACTCGTCCATCACGCCCTGGCGCCAACATCTGGGACAGACTTCGCTAGCAACAAAGCACAGCTCCGACCTGGCGGAGATCTGTAAGTCTTTCCATCTCGCGCTTGTAGGCTTCCTCTGTGGTGCACCTGCGAAGCCGCAGAAGTGAGACCACCAGCTTGCGTGGCTCAGGTGGCAAGGCTGCCAAGCGGCCACACCAGCTTTTCGCCGTACGCCTCACATAAGGACAGGAAACCACAATGACAGATCCCAAAACTTGCGCGTTCGCAAATACAGATATGTCCAGACCATCCACTCTGCCGTGCGAGGGAGGCCTGCCTACGCTACTGGTAGCCATGGCTAGCGAAAGAACGGTGTTGCTCTTCTCTCTGTTTCACATCGTGAGCCACAAATGCCGATCCTAGGGCTGCGACTTTGGAAGGGTCGAAAAGCAGGAGGATATCCTCTAGCGGATATTTCTCGAAGTCCTCACAGCTGTGGATCCAGGCATTGCAGCTTTGGACGGCAGTCTAGACCCAGCCCCTTCGGCTGTAAAGGTACTGTTACTTGCATTCATGGATGGGCTGTCCTTCTGATAAGGATGGTAATCCGATGCGAAGCCCATTCGCTTCACCTTTGGCAGAGACGGAACTACTGAAGGCACAGGCATTGCAATCGTAGTGATACTACGCCGATTGAGAGCCGTTGATACATGTAGTGACCGGGAAGTTGCTGCAGGTTGTGACCAACTTCGCGCACAGTGCCAGAATGCTTCACGATTCAAAAGGCCCGCCACGGCCTGATCCAGTACCTCCGACTTTGTGAGGTGAGCGAAGGGCTTCAACCTTGATAGCCCCACAGACAGCTAAACTGCAGGGGACCGCAGAAACCTTCCCGAGCCACGACCGGCTAACTCAGGCCTTTGATCCTCATGACATACGATATCTTGCTATCCATTCACCAATTTGCAGGTTACCAGCCCAGTGGCCGCACCCATTCCGCCATTCCCGGGTATACCGCTGGCACTTGCGGCGACTTCTACGAAACCTGCATAGGCCTCGCCTGAAACATGTAGCAACCACCGGCGAGCGGAGTTCTCATCCCTTCCACGTCTCGTCCAAAATCTAGACTGTGCTTTTCACCATTGAGCGACAGTGGGAGCGGCAAATCCAACACCCAAGTAAGCAACCGCCGTCCAGCGCCATCCCTTTAGCGGCAAACACTGAACCCCTGAAAGCCGAGGCCTGCAAACCGACCAGGAGGTGGCAGTTGCAGACGACAGCAAGACATTGTCATCATCGCTGTTACTTGACAGGATGAAGCATGAAAAGCACCACAGCAGGAAGGCAGCACGGGCTCCCGAGGGTAGGCTACAAACCGGAAAGCCATGACCTGGAACCCTGAAGCGAGAAACCTCGAACGGAGTTCAGCCAACGAAGCAGGAACATGCAATTGCCAAGAAAAGACGACTCGATTGCCGCGGGAAAGAGCTAGCCTCCCAAGAAAGGAATTAGTCAATTCATAAACACGCCCTGCACAGAAGCTCAGTGACCCCGAAATGGTGACACAGAAAGGCATCGATCATGAACACCGCTCTGCCCATCAGAGAATGTTGCTCTTCTGGGTGGCCGGCTTCATCCCAGAGAAGGGGACATCATCGGATTCGTCAACTTCGTCGACCAAGCCGATGGACAAGTAGTTTTTGGCCTTTGCCCGAAGCTCTCGCTATCTGTGTCTGCCATGGCACGGACGGTCTGATTCAACTGACAGAATCCTTTGTCGCTGCACAGAGGCTCGAGGCGCGCTGAAATCCTGTACATCCTTCAGGTGCTTTGCTCTGAGCCGATAAGAAGCAGCTTGGGTGCTTTGCCCCAGGTCTGATGTATGTCCAGTGCCTGTCTTCTTGATGCTTGCAGCTCTCTTTAGATGGCAGTTGCTTCAGGCCCCCTGGAGGGAAATGGTCGGAGGATCCGGCTCGCGGTTCAGCTTCATGTGCATCTCTCTGATGTACGCCTCAGATGAGGCCTCTCCTGGCCTTTCAGTGGAGGCCGGTTTCTGTTACGACTTCGCTGGTTTGCCTTACCTTCACTCGGCTTGGGGCGATGGCCAAGGCGACACCCTCCGGAGCTGCAGAAAGCTTCGTGCAAGGAAAGCAAAAGCTGCGGAAATCCCGACGTTTTCAGGGAAGAGACCTTTGGGCCGGGCAGCCGGATGCAGCCGCTTCCACATGAAGAAGAGCATGATCCAGCTGGCCAGCCACATTACTTGCACGAAGCCCCAAAGCGCTGGTGCCCCCAAGCTGCCATAAGCCAAACCAACCAACTGTCCTGAAACAGGGACGGAACCCGAAATGCCTCCCGTGCAGCTGGCCATCTGCCTAAGGAACGCCATGCTAACCACGTCCTGAAATCGCATTCGCAAGGGAGCTGTTGCTCTGAAGTACCGAAAAGTACAATCCGGCGTTGCCCTGCCATGGCTGATGGTTCATTTCAGGTCATGTTTAGCAGCTTTCCTACTGGTCGCAGTCGTTTTCACAACGGCCAGGCGCGAGCCTTGCCAATCAGCTTCGAGTACAGCGACTGCGTTGGGGGCATACTCGATCCGAAATCATACCACACTAAACTGGAGATAAATGTTGCCACAGGCAGCGAGGAGACACCAAAGCTTGACAGGCTTGCATAGGCCAGCAGCCCTGTATGGCTTATTACTGCCCATGTAGACATCAAGTTTCGGTCGTTGAACCGTTTGCTAGCCCTCTGCAGGATTGCATTGGAGATGATGGACTCCAAAGAGAGCGCTACAAAGACGTAGGAGTTGTGCAGCTGCGTCCATCCATAGTCCCGGCTTGTGATGACGGGCACGGCGAAATTGATGGCGCTCAGGGTAAATGCATTTCTGAAATTCAGGATGAAGACGAACCAGGCCCCTGTCTTGTGAAGCCACGGGTCCACGAAGAGTCGCATGTAAGGCAGCAAGCCCCAAAGGGTGAGGCACTCGCCTACCTCGGCTTCTCAGAGGAGCTGTGCGAAAAAACGCTTCAAAAGGGCCCCCCAATGCTCGTCAGGTTGCGGGCGTTAAAGGCGGTGGCCGGGCTGGAGGCCGGCGCGGTGGTTCTTCGAAAGCACGCAGGACGAAGAGCAAAGCCAGCAGCTGGAGTAGCATCCTCACAGCTTCACAAAGCTTCACAGCTTCACTCTGCCCCGCGATTTCGCGGGAAGAACATGCACGCCTGTGGGACTGGGCGGTGGAGATGGTGGTGACTCATCGATGTCAACCGCGATACACGTGGTAAGTCATTGTGGCAATTGTGGCCAGCCAATGCTCATGGCACTGGAAGTGGCGACCATGCTGGCCGCAGCTGCAGCAGCAAAGGCAGAACTCGAGGCAGGTGATTGCAAAGCAACAGCACAAGCAACGTTACAACATCGTGCAGGGGCAAGATTCAGAGCAGGTTCTAGAGAAACGAAAAGCAATCACTGTTGCTAGTAGTAGTGATTAGAAGTGAGGACGAGAAGATGACAGCGAGGTGAGCGACAGCGAGTGGAGCGCCACCAGCAATCGCAAACAGTCGTACGAACAACTGCACCTGCGATCATGATAAGGGCAACAGGATTCTGCTAAAGATTCAGTTGGTTACCAACTAACTAGGGACCTCCACACTCCTTGTGACCGAACCAGGTCGCTTACGACGAGAACAACGACACGGGAGAATCTCTCACGCTCGCTAGCACCGCCCTTCACACTAGCAGACTGCTGCTACTGTCAGCATGCCCAGCAAGACCACTAGGACTGCTATCAGACTATTGTGGACCGCGGTCAGACCATCAACTGCCACAACTCCTGTTTGCCCAAACTACTGCTACATACTAATTTTTCGAAACGTCGTGTGCAACTTTATTCTCCAGTCTTCGAGTGCAATGTACCAGTACAACCCGCCTGCCACACCGGACCTACATAACGAGGCGCAAGCCTCTTTATGTGAAGACGGGCTTCAAAAAGTAGCCAACCCAGGTGAAGTTGTCAAAAACCTTGGGGTTGCAGAACTGACAGTGACCGAAGGCTATGCGGAAGCAATAACGAGGGCTGGAACCTCATTGAAATGGGTTAGCAGCGGTTAGCAGTAGAGAACCCGCGGAAGCCCAAATAAGCCCAAGTCCGGAGACTCCGCAGCCGAATCCTTCGACAGTTTACTGGCATTCATGTCCAAGCACCAAGGAGACCGGCCCCAGGCGGAGGGTAAAGTGAGGCAGCCATACGATGAAAAGGTTCAGGGCGGGACCAGCCAGTGTCAGTGTGCTGGCCACGAGCACGAAAATGCCCATGTAGTGTGTGCGATCGGCCAGAGAGGTGTTCCGAGCAATGAACCTAAGACCATGGGAGCCAGCTTCAACATATTCCAAGTCGCGACCCCCGAACTAAAAATTGAAATCACTCAAAGGGCCGTTCCGAAGCTCAATCGATGTGCGCTTGCGTCGCAACTCCCTGGGCGGCCGTGACACCCAGCGCAGCTCTGGAGGCCAAGAGAGCCCACAAGCCAAGTGATGGGGCTGTTGCGTAGAGAAGACTGGCAAAAACCGAAGCCCTTAAGGTCACATTTGGCAAGAGCTAGAACATTCGAGTATTGGAGCCAGGCAGCCCTCAATAGCAACTCAGGCTGGGACCCTAAGCTAACAGCGAAGACCTCCTTGTATGGCCTGCGGTCCACCCAAAAGCCATAGAAGCCCATGCAAAGAAGACGAGCCATTGCAAAGCAGCCCGCACAAAGCCTTTGCTTCAGACTGGAGCAGGCCGGCATTGAGAGCCTATCTGACTTTCCAAACTGTCCCAGATCCTGGTGCCAAGCAGCCCGTATGCGTGCTTGTCACCGCCAAGAGACTCCACGTAGCCAAGCAAGGAAGGCACTGACAAAGTTCCTGCAACTCACTCAAAAAACTGGATGCGACTGAAAGCACTCGGTTTCCCCAACGGCCCTTCAGGAGCCTTCCACCGCAATCAGCAAGCCGATGCACCAGGCGGAAAGCAAATTCAGCATGGAAGTTGTCTCCGGGTTTAAGTCAGGATCGGCGGACAGCGATCTTGCCAGCAAGCGAGCCGGTCCTTCCAGCCCAGAGTTTGCAATAACCCCCCCCCGTCTCTGAGTGCGCAGATGTGTCCTGCAGCAGGAGGAACTGCCTCGACAGCAATCTAAGAGAGCGGCGATCGAAAATTCCAATGGTACTTGCTCCAAGGTGCGTCTTGGTCATCCGAAGCTTGCTGTGTCTCCAGTGTCTCCATTGCATACGAGTTGCAGGCAGCAAAAGCTTAGTGCACATCTTTCGTCTTCATTCTTGCGACACCGTTGCAACCTTGTCGGGATCGAGAGACCTCCTAAATCTCCTACCGTCTGATCTGGCTCTGATCAGGTCACGAGCTCTTCTGCTGTCCAGAACCAAACGGCTTCAGACACGAGGTGAAAGAAAGCAGTGCAGAGCAGTTGACGTGACAGCTATGACTATGACAAGCTCTTCCGGACTAGCGCCGTGCAAGTCTCGAAAGCGATGCTAAAGCGAGCTAAAAGCCAGGCCAGGGTTCGGCCCTCGGCGTTGCGGAATCGGCCTAGCAATGCCTATAGCACTAGCAAAAGAAGCTTTGAGCTTTTGGAGGGCGGAAGCGTGCTACAACACCGTGGCAGCCATCTGCCTCTATGTACAAAGTCTGGGAGAAAAGGGTGCAACGAGAAGTATGCATATGCACTGCGCCCCAGCCAGGCTGGGCACATGTGTCAACAATTGCCTCAAACACGGCGAGATCCCTGTTGGACCATACCATTGGGCAAAACCAGGCCGAATCAAGTCGGCAGCGGGCCTGCACTGATTGTTGGATATTTGGCCCTCACGCACTTTCGGGTCGCACGCTTCCGGTAGGGCCCGTCAAACGCCTCAGCCAGCGCCGCCCACGGAGTTTCGCAGACTGGCGACCAGCTCGGAGGACACGCCTCCCTGACGGATGCACTGCGAACGCGTTTACAGGGATGCAGCAGGCTGGAGTTTTTCCACATCTCTACTTTACACGCATGCAGCCAAGTTGAGGTATCTGCATCCTGGGCAGGCAATGTCGGCTCGAAACGCACGGGACTTGCCGTCAGTGGACTGGAGTTTTGCTGAACCGAATTTACTGCATGCAATAAAGCCTGGCGATGGTGCAGGAAGTCTGCTACGCAATCCTGGGCAACGTCAGGGCATTGTTGCGCACACAGGCTGGGGAACAACAGAATCACCAGAAGCTCGTTGCAAGCCGTGACTCCGCTAGGCCCTCTCCGGAGGCCTGCACAACACATGTCGCAGGTCGTTTTTTGCAGAGCATGTCAGAGCCCGCCTCGGCAAGAGCTTCCTGCAAAATGCACACAGAATTCAACAGCTTGAAATGAGCAGCGTCCCTCATCGCACATTTCAATCCTTGTAGCGAGCCATCATCACTTCTGGCTCTGACAGCTCCTTTGAAGATGTTCCCAGATCAACCGGTGATCATCACAAAACGTGGAACATGTCCGGTTTGTTCCGGCGGCACTCATCTGCGCGTGTTTTTCGCAATCCGTGTCTCAAAACGGCCGTGTCCAACATTGATGTGCTCTGATGCACAATGATGCACACAACATCCCGCCAACATGACAAGAAGATCACAAGTGGGCATCTCAAACAGCTGCTCCTTCCGCTCTTCAGGATCACCTGGAGCTTTCGGGTCAAGAAAACCCAAATTGAGACTCTGCTTCGTGGCTCAAAAGTCTACCAAGCACTGCCGAAACAGGGCCTGGCAGCGGGAAGTACATCTCCAACACTGCTAGGAAGCCACCTTGGCACGAAAGGAAACGCAGCAGACTCGTCGCTGGTTCTTTAGGATCGCACCGTCTCTCCCACAAGCAATGGTGGCATGCGCTTGGAGTCTTTCCAGACACAACAGCCGTACTACACCCGTGGATGACACGACATGACACGACATCCAGCATGACGTCTGTTTGGCCAAGTGGCTGAAGAGTCCCCGGGGACCCCTCAGGAGACAGAGATCCTCCCAGTGTCTGGCATGGGAGTGCGTAAGCGGCGTCATGCAGTAAAACATGAAGCCAGCAGAGGTTAGCTGAAAGCAATCCATCTGTCCCACAATGTCGCGATCAACGGCAGCCTCGGTTGCGCAACCGAGACAAAACGGGATAAAAACGCGTCATGCACACTGGTCTGCCGTTCTTCTGACCCCCGCTTAGTCTCACATGCATCAACAAAACTCCTTTGGAAGGCTTTGACGCTGACTCTGTGCGCCTGCGGCGGAAAACCCGGAAGGAAACGCCGCGACACAAAACCAAAACAAGAAGAACGGCAAAATCACTAGGCATTATCGGGATCATTACCGGTTTTCTCTAAATCTTCGGACGGCACATCTGGCCCATGGAAACCTTGAGCCAAATTATCCAAAGATGACGAAGTTGTTGGGCCTGCAAATGTACCCACGTATTTCATCTTCCTCACATATCTCATCTTGCCATGCATCAGAAAGACGTCACTGAATACAAGGCAAAAACAGCCGCATGAAGCTAAGGCTGTGCGGCTGCAGCCGTGCAACGATGAGTCTGCAGATCCCAGCGTAATGAAGTAGTCCACGGTGAACCACAACACCTCTCCGGGCAATATTGAATAGGAACACAATCCAACATACATGCAGCAAGTTCCAATTCGTAAACTAACGTCTAGGCTAAAGCCTTCAGTGAGGTACCTATGTAAGGAACTAGTGAATTGATTAATCAATTCCTGTGCTTCCGCCCAGACTGCTAAAACAATAAGCACAGTACTGTTCCGAAAGACCAACGACAGCCTCGGGCTTCTCAAAGGCCTTGCAATTATACCCTAAACCCCATAGGGGCCAAAACCGTAGAGAGAGAGAGAGACAGAAGGACGGCCTCGGGCTTTTAAATGCAGGCTCCAGGTTCCGAAACCCCCTATTCTCATTAAGCGAAACAGGGTCCCCACAATAGGGCGCAGTCGTGCTGTAAGCTTATATAACTTGTGTAATTACGATGAGTCTTTGGGGCATCCCGGGACAAATGCCTCCGGAAAACAACATTTAATGCTACAGGGATTTCAAAAGCACAGGGAAGCAATGCAAAGACACCGGTAAACCGGACTTTGGCCGGAGTCGTGCTGAACCCAAAGCCGAGGTTAACAAACGCAAAGTTGCTACTGAACGTTCGGGTGGGTGCCTCTCCATCTTAGGAGGAGGGAAACTGCCATTTGACTATGTTGGGTCCGTCGCACTCAAGCAACAAGCTTCCGCGAGATCCACAAAAGGATTCGACTTGAGCAGCGGGAAAGCTGGCTGGGAGATATTCTGCTTTTCTGGGATTCTTCAGTTTCCCAAACACAGCGCCTCGATGCCTGCCGACTCGAAGAACATGGCATGGTTGGGCAGAAATGTCCTAAGCAGTGCTCTTAGCTGAAAGGTCTTAGCTGAATCTTCACCTGTCAGTAAGAGATTGCAGATGCGGGCAGCGATACTACTATGTTCTCGAATCACTTCTGCACGATTGACTTGCTGATGCCAAGCATCTGGATCAGGATATCCTGAGAGGACTTCTCACAAGAGGGTGGCTGGAGCTGTAGGAAGACAGCTGGCAGGTAAGGTCCAACATCACACTGGCTAGGTGCATCCGAAGCTCAGCCACTGCCGTGTCACGGAACAGCCCATGCAGATCTGGATGGTGGCAGCCAGGGAGTAGCTCCTGTTCTGGCCATGCCCATGGGAATTCAACATCCAGAGGTTCTCGCAGAGTAGCAAACCTGAGACCACTAGGTGCACAAGGAATGAGGTGACTGGCATGTGCGAAATTGTGTGGTGCACGCAACTCCCACAAAACCTGCAGTCCATCCTCACTACCAACCACACAGTGCCAAACATCGATAAGCCACCAGAGCAAAGGAAGAGAAATGTCAAGAAGGTGTCCGTTTGCAGATTTGCATCCCTCAGAACCGCGGCTTCAAAGATACGTAGAACGCAGACTCAAAAAAGCAACTGTTCACCTCGCTAAGATTTCGAACAGCGACTGTTTGGGACATGTTGTGGTCTACGCGATACTTTGGCATCTCCTCGATGATGGCATCCATCAGCCAGCAGCACGTCTCTTCGTCGAATCCAAGCTTCAGCAGCACTGCAGCAAGCTGATTCCTCCGGCAGGAGACAGTGACAGCCGTTAGCCACATCAACCGCTTGCTTTTCTGAGAATGCCTGGTGACTCGCCCTCGCCATCTCCCTCCCTGGCCCCGGGGTCATGCCCTGGGCATAGCCGACGTGAGGCCGCTTCGCGGCTGTTGCATGCAGCACCCGACGCAGTGCATCGCGGCGCTCTGGAGCGACCAGGTCACGCCTGATGGCGGCATCTAATCAGAGCTAAACCTTGATTGGTATGGGGTTCAAGGACACCCACTGAATGAGCGCGTGCCTGCCAGCGTGCGTGCGTGCGCGTGCGCGTGCGTGGGCGAGGGAGCGAGGGACCGATGGAGAGTGAGAGTGAGAGTGAGAGTGAGAGTGAGAGTGAGAGTGGGAGTGGGAGTGGGAGTGGGAGTGGGAGCAGCCTCTCGAACCAATTGAAAGGCCTCGTGCGTGGTACATCGGCATTGATCTGATCCAACACCTTGCAAGAGTTATAAACTCTGTAAACGACCCCTTGACTCTCACTTTTCCGCTGCGAGATATTCATGACCACCTGCCCCACTTTCAGCTCTGGCCTTCTGCGGCAGCTCAGCCTCTGTTAGCGCCTGCCCCAGAAGTGAGGCAAAGGCCACTGGCCTGTCTCATTCCACGTGGCACCTCGTAATCGCCGCTGCTGAGGGGCAGAAGCTTCGGCCAGAGCAGATGTCGATACCTCAGATTCCAGCTCCGCCAGCATGAGCATGAATGCATGACACGGCCGTAGAGAAGAGCACCGGCAGTCTGCGCTCGAGTGCCGAGAGGCTTCAGGGGCATCCCCCGCCGGCCTGCAAAAACTCTGCAGACACTCTCCCAAGATTCAGTGCATGGCCCCGGCACGTGCCTGAGAGCAGTCCCTCCAGCTCCTCCGTCTCCAGCTCGGCGAGGTCACGTGAAGCGAGGAACTCCTGCCAGGCCTCCCAAAAGCTTCAAGGCAGCGATGGCTCCGGCAGCTACAGGGTGCCATGGTCGCCTCATGGGTCTCGGCATCCTCATGTAGGGCCTGCACAGGCTCGCGGCAGGCGCCAAAAAAACCCACGGCCGGATCACCGATGTCACCGGGCCCGTGCCTGCTCCCGACGCTGACGGCTGGTGGGAGTCTCCTCGCCCGGACGCTTCTCGTCTGCATCCTTGACATTCTTGCAGACATGATCACACATGTTGCACATATCATTTGCACAGCGCACCATGTCCACTTCTCTGGGAGCAGTGTAGTTGGAGGATGTTGGATAGTGTATGTCAATAGAGGCTGCACTGCATGGCCCATCATGGCACCTTCTGTACTCCGGAGATCAACCGCCGGACTTCGTCCGCACGCCCACCCAGGCGCTGTACGAGCTCGGCGCCTTCGAGCAAGGCCACAAGCAGCAAAAGCAGAAACAAGCAGAAACAAACACTGACACAGAAGCCGAACCAAAAGAGTTGACCCACTTCCCGATGCCTTTCCGGATCTGTGGCGTCAGAGAGTCCACAGTCAGGGTGCAGAGGTCACCTTGAGCGAAAGGGAGCTTTCAAGCCCACGCCTCGCTGCCGGAGATCACAGACTCGATGCCAAGCGGCGCAGGCCCACGAGACCGAGCAGCGCAGGGAGTTGGTCAGCGGCCCGCAACTGGGAAGGTCGCTGCCCAAAGACACGATCTCGCTGAAGCTCTTTTTCCGAGGCTCGAGCATCACTCACGGATTTCGCACACACCGGACAACTGCCATCCTCACACAGGCTTCCTTCCTTCGAACTCGATGAAAAGGCCGAGCTTGCTGCCTCCCCGACGCACGCAGCGTGAAAGCCTCTGTGCAACGTTTCGCTGTACTCAAAATACCTTACAATTCACTCGCAAAGGCGACTACATCGACTACATGGTGGGCATTCTGTGCCGGAATCGTGCACAGCGCCGAGTAGCAGTGGAACTGCGGACATCGTCGCAGCGTGGACGTTGCGCCCAGCCCCAATGGCTCCTGGCACTCCGAGGGTCGCAGGTAATCCTTCACATCTCTGGGTTTAAGCAGACGACAGGGTTGAAGGCCTCGCAACATGGGCAGCGCAGGGCGCCGGAAATACGCTGATGCACCCCGTCCTCATGGATCTTGACATGAGCTGAAGGATCTACTCCGGTCATCGGTCATCGTATCGTCAAGGCTCCAAGTACTCTATCGAGCGCTCGACTTCAGCAATCTTCTCCTGCACCAACTTCCTCATGATCGGCCCAGTACTGAAACCTTCTGCCACACTGCGAGAATTTGTTCGCCGAGGGTCTGCATAGGCTTCGTGGTGGACCATCCGTGCACCTGGCAGCAAGACTCGTCTCCACGTCAGATTGCATCCAATATCGGGGTACCTTCCGAACCCTTGAACGACCATGACATGCGGAGCAGTTCTCCGTTCTCCGCTCTCATTGAGTGTCCAAGCGACAGCCACGCCCACGGCAAGCCCAGCACCCAAGCCGCCGAGGACCTCCGGTATCTTACGGCCACAATCCGACAATCCGGAAGTTCTCGTGCTGTCCAAGGCGCACGGCCAGCGATAAGCATTGTTTCCGTGCCTGCCTGAGACATGCGCTTACCATGCCCAATGCACCCCATGGCTGACACATCGCCGTGGGAACACGAAGCGCCTGGGTGAGGGTGACATACTTGGCCGACCGAACGAGCATCAAGTTCCTTGACTCCAAACCATCACAGCGGCTACATACAGGATAAGGACTGACAATGCAGCAACTGTTTTGCGCAGTGTGAACGTGCAAGAGTTGCTCAAAAAGCCATGAACGCAACTAGACCTACTATGACATCTGGATGAAGAGCTCGCAGGACAAGGCAGTACGGGACTGGTACAGCAGAATAGTTTTGCAAAGTGAAGGTTAGTCCCCTCATCGTCACTCCTCAGGAGCGCAAGTTAGCGGCCAAGTTATCCGAGTTCAACATGACAAGACATCACCGTCATATTGCATGTTGGTGTGCTGCTCAGGAGCGCAGTCTGGGTGTACACGGCCAACCTCGCTTCTTCGAATGCGTTGACCGCCCGGAGACACCCGTCCGAGACGTCCGAGAACCCGACGCGCGGCCGGCATGTCGCCGCGGCGAGGAGCGGTGGTGCGAAGCAGCAGAGCTCAGTGCCTGGACGTCTCTGCAGATCTATGCAGCGACATGCGGTCCTAAGAGTTTCTTGAAACCAGTGTCGAGCCGCGCAGCGGAGCTCGGACTCGACGGACTCAAAACCGAGCCTCGGCTGAGGCACCACACAAGGGGGGTTTCTGTACAGGGCTCCTGTCCTCGGCAGAAGTACCGACAAGACACTGCTCGCTCAGGTCGATCTCCATGAGTTTTGCTAGGTTCCTCCCCTTCTCCTTAGTCAGGATTTGTTCTCCGGTGCTGCTCTGCATTTCCGGATTGAACCCTTGGAATCCGTCAGAGCGAATGCTACAGGTGCTATGATGCCGACAAGGTGCGGCTTCCACCACGGCATCCTGCAATGAGCTAATTGAGACCGGCAACATGGTGAACTCTTGGCATGTGGCATGCTCACATGCTGCTCACATGCTCACGACCTGTGTGCTGCTCCCGACGCCTGTGACAGCGCTTCCCGCACCGAAGGCCTCGGAGGGAGGAGGGACAGGCACACGGAGCCACCCGGAGGCACTCACGCATATTTTTCCGACCCCAAGTCTGCCGAGCATCGATGGCCAAAGGTGGCGCGACGAAGAGAGATCCAAAGGACGCCACCTCGGCGAAGTCTCGTCGAATTCTCAAAGGACGCTTCCAATACGAGGCCCAGGCTGCCAGGCCGGCTGCTGCTGTGTTTCCCGAATTGACCTGCTGTTTATATAACAAAAGCGAGCACGTCCCCGGGATCGTCTTGCAACCACGCGGCCCTGTACCACCTGCACAGAATCACCAGGAGTCGATGTGTCGAGCACAGATCCTAAAATACTAAAACCTCTAGGAAACAGCATTCCACGAATGTGGCACGAGGCACTGTTTGGTAATTTGCTTGTTGAGTTCCTCCAGCGTCCTGCAACAGCCCGAGAAAGAAGCGGTCGTGTGCAGCGTCCCATGACAACAAGGGCATAAAGAATCAAACTGCTGAGGAGCGAGCTGCAGAGTTTTCCGACGCACGGCGAGAAGAACGGCAGCAGCGGCTACGAGCCTCTCCGCTGGCTCTGGTGCATGGTAGCACAGGGCGTACTGATTCAGTGCAGAACACCTTGACATGGCGCCAGTGACAGTGCTGGTGCAGGTGGCTTCATCGGAAGGAGAGGCAGAAGAGGACGCTGGTGACATCTGCAAGCGATGTTAAAGCCCGGAAATGCCACAGCTCGCTGAAGGAGACTCGGAGCCTCACAGCTTCCTGGCCATGGTGCAGCAGCATCCGCTGCCTATCATGTACGAGCAGTGAAACTGCGAAGCTCCGAGGTTTGAGCCTTCTCCAGTCTCGCCTGCAGCGTGGCCGGCGGAGGAGCTCGGCGGTCGTCAGGGAAGTCCGGCCACCACTCCTCGGAGCACTGCGTACGGGGTTGAGCTTAGGGAACTCACAACACTGCTTTCGCTTCTCAATGCTTCTCATGCATCGAAGCTTCCCACTCGTCCGGCCTCCCTTCGTTACAAGAATTCCAGGCTCGCCAGACCTGGCCAAAAGACGTCAGAAGATACCTGCATAGCGGTCTAGAGACCACCTCACTTCACCGACACATCTCCCTCTGCTGGGAATCCGGCATGACAGTGCCTGATTTGGCGAAGACAAATAGCACATGGCAAGTGAAATCAGATAATTAAATGGAAACGGTTTGGACAAGGAGAACAAATCATGAATCGAAGAAGGATACTCACACTTCACGACGCTTCAACCCGGAGACATCGCGAAGATTGCACTTGTGCTGGAAACCTTTGTGGCGAGCCGCGTGATGGGCCCGCGGATCTCGAACCAGGCATCTACTCCTCTGCCGCCGACCTGTCGGAATGGCCCCCAACACCCTTGCATGCTCTGCCCTTTAACCTTTAGCCTTTTCTGAGAACCTCGTCCCAGGCATCGGGGCGAAGCTCGATGACCTGCCACGAACATGCACAGAGACATGCGAAAAAAAACAACCACAATACACAGGCGGCCTTGTAAGCGCGAATGAGACTCAGCGAATTCTCCCAGGCTCGATTGGCCCCTACATCTTGCTCCTATGACAGACACTGTTTCATAAAGGATCCTGGACAAGCCCCTCCTTCCCAGCAAAGGGGTGTCTCTAAAGAGACCCAGAGAACTTTCAGAGAACAGATTCGTGCACGCCTCCTCTCCACGCCGAGTCCATGCAGAGCGGCTTTTCCTGTCGACTCCGTGCACCTCTGCGCAGCACAAGCTCCGTGCAAGATTCGGCTGAACATCGATTCTGAAGGTTACAAGGGGGCCTTCTTCAAAAAAACCCGAGTCAACATCCGTTTTGGCGCCTTGCGGCCGCCTGGTTGAGACCGGAAGCGGACCTGCACCCAAAGCGACTCTGGAAAAGCCCGTCTCGCTTCTCGAACTAGCAGCAGCACGAGCATTCGATCATAAGACGTTGCAGTGGAAAAGTTCTGCAAGGGAACGTCCGGCCGGATCGGGCCGGCCTGAATCCCTGCACTGCTGGAGGGAAGAACCTTTGTGGCCCCGAAGCGGCCGCAGAGGGCATCTTCCCAGGAGTTCCACATCTGCTCCTGAGGGCGGCGCTGGCAAATCTAAGGCATTCTGAACACCATCCCAGAACTACGCCCTCCAATCCTTCGTATATAACCCTTATAAAAGGCTTATATAACCCTTGTAAAACACTTATACAACACCTGTGTGAAAACTCAGGGCAGTGCAGCTGCTGTGATTCAGTGATTCATTCGTTTCAAGTTGCCTGCTCAGCGGGACCGCTCGAGCATGCAGGAGCCTAGATTCTCCACGTTTTCAGGCAATGTCCTGGTGCGGAAATGTGCGCATGTGCCCCCACACCACCCCACCCACCCCACCCCCACACCCACACACACCCCACCCCACCCCACCCCATGAG